GACCTATTGTATTGATATGTTTTAGCCTACCTAAGGGTGTAATATATTTGATCTAACCCTAACTCCTGCCCATTACGAAGGATTTTCAGGCAGCCAGTAAAGAACTGACAGCCATGTGTGATTGGTGAGCATATTGAAGTGGGAATTGGGGGTTGCGCGCTTTTGGCGGCGCGAGAACAGCAGCAGCTGCTGGATCACTCAGCAGAAAACCACAAGATCAATTCGTACAATATCTAACAATCTATCTCGAATAACATAAGAGAAGGCATGTAGGAGAATCAACTAAGAAGAAGGGAAAACCGGTTATACAATGTAGGTTGCTTGTTCGTATGTGCAGGGGAAATGCTCGGTGAAAATTTTACCCGTCCCGGATCCCCCTTACAATATGAGTTTCCTAGGAAGCCCTATCCTGATTTGCTAGGTCAATCCCATTCATATAATGATTGTAGTCATTGATAGTGATAGAAATCTTCATAGCTTTGCTCAAATTTATCACTAAATAGATATCAAAATCTGTGAGTCATCTGTGGTTCCCTACTATGCTGCGGCTGGCGGTCGCAGTGTATAGACAACTATTTAAAAATTGGTTACGTTGGCTTTTTGCTATGGATAACCTAGTGGTCATAGTGCTATCTTATCACACATTCATTGATGGAATTGATCCCAGAATGTATCTGAATATATTCAATGAAGCTGTCTGGCTTATGAACTGTAGACAGTAGTAAAATCACATTATTATCTTTTCATGCAACACGGAGAACTTCATTTTGAGGGATAATATACAGAGTATTGAACAATGAAGAGAATATGAGCAGATAATTCAGAGTTATTTAGTTCTTGTAAAAGAGATGGTAGATTGACAGAATGGGTGATTCCACAAGCTCCACTTCCTTTCTTTCACAGATAGTGGAATAGAGCAACAGAGATGAAGTAGTTGTCCATATAAATTGAGTAGCCAGCTACCTCTTTACTGTTATTCAACTCTATATGCTGCTCGGAGCTCTGCTGCTTGGAGAACTGGAAATACCTTTGAATACCATGATTCTGCAGAATGTGGTGAGTAGAAAGATGGATTCTTGCTGAAAGATGAAATAGCAACATGTTGAGTAGAAAATATGAGATAGTAGATCTGATCCAGCAAATATGGTTGCGTATATTTTAGTATGAGAAATTACTGGTTGAACTAACAGTCGAGTTAATACACTGTGCCTCACCCCCAGACGAGGAGGTATTACATCCACCGTCAGCAGCCGCCCTGCAAGATCAGCAACACGCGCCGGGTGGTGTTAAACAGAAGTGAAAATGTATCTTAAACGTCATATTTTGGTCTCAACTGCTGCAAAGATTCATCGAGATCCGCCGTCTCGCGGAGGCCAACTCGATGATGTAAAAGAAAGGGCGTTGCTTTCGCACAGCACTCAGCTGTCCGTTTGGGTAGTCGCGTCAACTTGATTGAAGTCATGAAAAACGACCTATCCATATTATTTTATTCCGGGCCTGTTTAAGGATCCGAAAAATTCCAGTTGCGGGTTTCTCGCTGGTGCCCATGTGGCAAGCAATGTTATTGGCGGTTACGAAAAGGATGTTCCGTGCCAGATGTTGTATGTATGTATGTATGTATGTATGTATGTGCATTAGTGCAATCAGAGAAAAGAGGCAGCCTCACCCTCAATGCATTGAGCAACGGGAGCGTTTTGAGCTTCCGGAAGTTGCTCAGGCATTAGGGAGAAAAGAGAGAAGACGATGGGTCAAAGAATTTTTGCCCATTTTCATCCAGTAATTATCACTTACGGTTTTGTCAAGTTCGGTTGGTCTGCACGGAGGGAAAAAAAATTAAAAAATAAAAAGATGGTTACGCCCTTCTATGTATGGATGTTCTGTACATATAAGTTCATAATTCATACCTCAATCGAGTAGCTATGCCTTTTGTTCCCCC